ATTTTCGTATTTCCCTTTTACTTCAGATCTTCACGAAAACAATTTCTTGACTACCATGAGATCCATGAAGAATCATAAAATGTAGACATGCTGTGATTAAACACTGTGCCATTCACTTTGTTCAAATTTACTGAATGTAAATGCTTGTAAGGCATCATCCTTAAACTATGGGGTTTATGATTATTGGCCCCATGCGGATGTTGGGATCACTTTAAAACATGACAAAGTGAGAAGCTCCTTTGGAATATGATATACAGTAAAAGTCAGTTCTGCTTATGCTGAGGCGTCTTTCCTGAATACTTATACAGTCCATACACAGCTCTAAGGAATCACTTTTCACATATACAATACATCTGTATTGATTTAGTTTGGCTTATTGTAAACTGTCCTGTCAGAGGCTGTGATTCATCTCAGTACTGTGATTATTTCTCTTATTATGTTTTTGACTATTGCATTAAATTATTGTATAGACCGTTTTTAACAAGTTTTTTTGAATTACCAACCAGTTTGCAATGTGTGGATTTCGACTCTCAGCAGCAACTTCTGTATTGCACAAGGAGAAAGAGAATGTCAGAGGCTCCTCTGACCTGCCCACCTACCAGAGCCATTAATCTTTCTGACACACAGGAAGTTCCGCAGTGCCTTAGAGGGGAGTTAATGCTGATTGGAGGAGTTGCATGTCCCTCACTGATGTCAGTGGAGAATTGCAGGCACCCGGAAAGCCACAGGAGTCACTTTACTGTTTCACTGAGGGTCAGCACAGCACTAGCTGACTAATCTCAATCCTTCCCACTGTGGCAGTCTGCCAGTTGTGCAGTGCTACTTGGGGAATGGTGATTACAGCTGGGTTGAGCCTGTGACACCTGGGCTACAGAGCTCAACCTGTGCTCAGAGCACCTGTCCAGGTTGAGGCACACAGTAGTCCCCACTTTATTGTTTAGAATGTAAGTCACCTTGGATACAGGCATTGGCTACAAAATAACAGTCTAATCATTGTGTTAGAGTGAAAAATATTAGTAAGCAGAGGTGTGTGTAGTTCCCTCATGAAATGCATATTGTGTGGAACGACATGGTAATGTTGAAAGCTGACTTGCTGATCATACTGTCTGTATTTGTATTAATAAAAATATTCTGTTTAATTCTAAAATTCAAAATAAGAACATAAAGAAATCATTTTTGCCTTCAGCCTCTCATCCACATGTGGAAAACAAGGAACAGGCTTCCACTACGGTGCGTAATATTTGGGACTCCTCTTACTCGCATAGATACTGAACACCCTTCGGATTAAAAATGGATTATTATTCTTATTGTATTGGGGAGAGATATCAGAGCAACAGAGACGTCTTAGTGGATTGCACTAAAATAGCATTCATGTTGTATGAAAACTAAGGGAGTTGGTCTGCTGCAGCTTTTTTTAATAGACGATAAAATTAATGCACTTAGTGCATTGTGACACGGGTTCTTAAACCTTTCAAGGAAAAAAAAAATCTATGTCATGATCAATCTTTCAAGGGGGGGGGGCATGGGATCTTTCTGCTAGAGGCTGTGTTGCTCTGGACTGTAGTACCCTACAGTGCTCCCACATGCTCTAGATGGTGGTGTACACATCAGTATAAGATGCTTCAGTACAGTTTCAGTACCTGCTCATGCTGTTGCCCAACAAAATGGAGTGGTCACATACTGTAGCCCACGGTGAGTTATGAGCCCATAGTTTAAGAACTGAGGCATTGTGGGAAGTTGATCAGTATTTACAAGATTAGGCACTATTTACAGACATGTTGTAACATTACAGTTTTGTATATACTGACCAATATTTTGATAAATATTATAGTACCTAGACAGAAATTCCAGACATTAGCTACGGTAACTAGACAGAAACATGAATAATTATTGTCCATTTGTTTCGTGGTGTGTAACATTTTTTTAATAAAAATGTGAATATATGCAAAGAAATGCAGGTTTACAAATTGTTCTTGCACTTTTGAGTACTGAAAAAGATTTTTTTGATTTTAATGCACTACAGTATTTTTGTGTTAATGGCTAATTTACATGAAATACTTCTATAAAATGGAAAGGCAAAATGCAAAGCATGAACAGTTAATTAGAAAATGTAAAGATATGTTTTACCAATGCAGATGATAAAAGCATAGCATTATCGCCTGGTCATAGGTAAAATGGTTGATTCAGCTCTATTCATTGTAGAAAACAAAGTACTTTAATATATCTTCACTGTCCATTATTTATTCAGCCTGTACCTTTTTATCTCCCTGCATTTAATTTTAACTATTTATAGAGAACCATCACTCCATGGATTTGCTGAAGTGATTTGGTGTGTGTTGAGGGGTAGTTAAAACCACTTTGAAACTGTAATGAAATGTACAAGGCATGTTTTCACATTGTACAGAAATTACAATGAGATATGCTTAAAAGTAACTTCAGAATTCTAGCATCATAAGATGCATAAAATAGCATAAAACATTTGTTTTTGGCAGTGCACAATGTATTGTCTTAAGGTTCATAGTAATATGGAAAGGTTTTTTCTTTAATGAAAGGAACACAAGATTCAAAACTCAGTACTGTCAAATCATGCTATTTATCCCTTCTATACTGTTTCAAATATAAATACATTGGAAAAATAACAAGAACTGCATTGTAGGCCTTAATCAAAATCTGCATACTGTACTTCATGTTTCGTCTCCTCTATGTAGTTGACCTGTATCTAACAGTACTCAAATAGCTCTCTGGTTCAGAGAAATTTATGGTCTCTTGTTTGAGATCAGTAGGTCCTGCATAAATCATATTTCTTTATTCTTAATTCTTATATGCAGACACACAGGAACATAAATGGCTCTTTTCTGTGTAAAATGAAATTTTAAGCAGAAAGTTAGATGAAATGCAGTTTCAGTGCAGTTTTTAGTGCAGTTTAACTACATTGATGGTGTTGTATATCTGAGACGTTTTTATTTTTATACTGTAAGAAATGAAAATGACCATTTTTGTAGCAAAATAGGGCCTAACAAGTCTATAAAATAAAAAAGGTTTTACCTCAAGTCATTTCCACCATTAAGACCCAAAAATGACATAAAATCAACAAGAGAAGTTTTAGAACTAACTTTTGAGTTGGGAAATGCAGAACGAGGTTCAAGGAATCGTTCTTTGAAGTATTTTGCAGTATCAGCTTTTGAGACTAAATTACTCCTTTATATCCTCTGTTTCATACTTAAAAATTGCTTTTAACATTAATGCTAAAATCAAGATGTGGGAACACTTGATAAAGTGTATAGCACTTTATGTCCAAATAGGTAAGTCATGGAAATAGGCAAGTTCCTTGCGCTTATAAATTAGGGCAATAAATATGAGAAAATATAGTTTTAACATATATTTAAAATATGATTAAATATGTGGAACTGAAAACGGATAAAATTACCATTATCCAAATACTGAGCTATTAGTCAAATTTATTTAAGGTATCATGGTATTTTATCTTAAAAAAGACATGGGATTCCAGTGTGTGGAAATTGGACTGCCATAACTGGTGTCAGTCTGAAAGGGGCAGGAGCCAGTGATGCTGTATTTTGTACATAGTGTACCTGAATTCATTCCAGACAAAGGTTAATTCAGCATTATAAAAGCCATACAAACCAAGCTGAATCAAGATACCTCAGTGTTATGTTTCCTAAAGTAGTGCAGTAATTTCTTTGATAAATCTGCATAAATTGCCTTTGAATGTATACATTTCAGTGGAAATTTTGGCAGCTACTTAAGTGTGCTGTTGTTTATTCTTTTTGTATTAAGTCTTTCAGCCAGACATTCCAAACTCAATGGAACCTCTAAATGTGAAGTTTTCGCACGAGTACTAAATTAAAAGCATGTGCATGCTAAAAACAGAAACAACTTTAATGGGAAATTAGGAAAGGGTTACATTCATATCTTTTTACAGTAGACATTCGTGTTTAATATGTAGTACATTTGGTTAAAGGAAGGGGAATATTTGTGTTAGCTAGATGCCAGTGCTATGTAATTTGCACTTTATTTACCATCTACCATAGCTCTTACTCGGAGTCCAGGCCTGAATACTATGGTTAAAATTCAGAATCTCGGATGTTAGGTAACATCTTAACTGCTGAACTAAAATATTGCCTGAAGAAAGACTGTCTCATGATTTTATACTGTTTCCATTAAATCTTGTCTTTTCATGGCTTTAATTAATAATATACCCACTGACATTTATGTATTGGAGCAATAAGCTTAAGCGGGAAACAATTTATGTCACCTAAAGCTTTTTAACGAATCGATGCAACTATTTGTAATTGCTTGTTTCACAAGATTAAAAGTGCTCAGGCTTGATCTTTGTCTCCTGTTTTGTGGCCAACATGACCCATGCTTCCGTCATAAAAAGCAAGCCTTGGTGATCAGCATTAATTTCCATCAAGAAATCCATATCGCTAATATTTCTGGAATTTTAATGCAGTTACAATTTATAGCTGATCAAATGCAGTTACCTAAATTGCTGTTAAGAGAAGACAGTTTAACTGTCTCTTTTTTAATTATGACATAATTTAATATTTAAGTACAGACACTAGCGCTGGTCATCTGCATTTTCATGCCTGATGACTGTTTCGACTCTTTCAACTGCAATTTCTTTGATTTCACCAGTGATAAAAATGTCAAAAACTCAAGTAAATAATAGAGTAGGTATTAGTGTCCATGTCAGTGTGTGAAATGTAGATAAAAAGCAGGACAGATTTTAGTATAATGTTGTCTAAATTTGCCTGTTCACACATTTTATAATAACTAATATATTTGCATCTTACCTAAGTAAAACCATTGTGATTAAAGTTCATGGGTGAATCTGTGGTGTAAAAGTTTCTTTTTAGGCACTGTATGAAATGCATGGAGACTCTTGTGCTAATGTATGTTCCAGCTGCTTTGAAAGAAATAGGCACATACTGCAGTAACTACAGTGATATTTAAAATTAAATAACAGCTTCAGCAAACAATATGAACAACCAGCATTTTATTGCATTTTAGAATGCTTTAGTCAGTTCTCATGACTGACTATACAACATCTTTTACTTGTCTGCATCAACAGACATGGAATGGTGGTATTAACAAACCGATGAGAGGAATGAGTTTCTTTTATGCCTTAACAGAGATCTACCTGGTAGCACAAATATTGAAGCACCACGTTATCTCCACGGTTCTGACTGTACCTTCCTCTAAACCAAGGAGTTGTAAAACAGCTCATGCTATGTGAACAACATGTGGTGTAATCATGACTTATCCGAGGCACATTTGATGTGACTTCAAGGTTTTGTTTTTTGTAGAGGGAGGGGAAGATAAATTCCACTTTTGTTGAACAAGCGTTTAATGGTTATAAGGCTGTATTACAAAACGTGATACCGTGTAATGAATGTATATCAGGGAAATAGTTATCTGGTAACTTGATAATCACTTGGCTTGATGACCTGTGTGCTCAGCTCTACAGTTCTACCTGCTGTGCTTGACTTTACCTATGGTGAAAAGGAAGAACTCAATAATAGTGTTTGCTTTTTTCCTTTTTCTCAAAAAGTAAGGCGCTCATTCCTGACAGCTGTATTGACTGACGTGGTACTTATATTATGATATGAAAACTTTTTTTTAAGGAAAAAAAAGCATGTAACAAATATTCTTCACATCTTGGCACCTTGTAATTTTTTCCCATTAGTTTTATACAAAAGTTCATTAAATTGACACTCCCCAATATTATTACTGATCACTTCACTAGTTTTCTTCTGTGACCTTGAAATTTATCATGCAAAATATTTCCTTATAAGCCTTATAAGAACAGGAAACACATCTGCCTCATTCTGCAGCAGTTAGAACCTCTTTTTAAAGACAGCCATGAAAGGCAGTGGTTGAACCATCATAAGACGGGAAGTATAAAAAAACAGCTCAACACAAACAGAAAAATCTATACAAAATGCTTCCGGCATTGATAACAGAGAAGAGTGTGTTTTTCTATGTTACAGTTTACAGCAAAATTAAGGGAAATACCTCATCCCCCCACCCCCACCCCACCGATGTCTGTAAGTATCCATTTCTTTTAAAGCAAGATTTACTAAGTAAAATACATGTGCAGCACATTCTGCTATTCCAATACATACAGTAGGTTTTTTATAGCTATTTTAATATAGTTAATACAAAGCAGTTGCATTAAAGCAAACATTTTAACACAGGTGTACTTTTATCATTGAAATTAACAAGAAAAAGAAACCAAAAGGACAAAGGCTTATACCAATACAGGGATTTATGTACAACCTGAAACTGCCCACCCAATAGAATTGTGTGAAAATTGATGGGTCGAAATTAAGATGGAAAAAACAAAGTGTGGTGATGTTTTCTTGAAAGGCCTGAGGTTTGGGTTGGTTTTCGCTAAAAAGGTTGCGAGACCCTTGAGATACGCAAGCTCTATTTTTTTTTTGCTACAGTCTTTAGACTAAGCATGCAAGACATACAACTAAGTGTAACTGAGTGAAATGTATTTCTTAATCATTCCCTAAAGGTTTGAACTGAGGTATGCGTACTAACAGTTTTCTCATGCTGTTATCTTTAGTCATGTCTAGCTACACATGCTGAGAATGTACTAATCTACCAGCTTTTCCCCGCTTAAAAATGCCGAGCTAACCAGCAAACCACTCAGTTTGGATGTGCAGAGATCACTTCTCACGATCCCATCTGGCTACTGCCTGCACGTCATGAAGCTGCCTGGATACCATATTAAATACATTTTTAAAAGAACCACAGATTGCCCTTTGCAATGAAAGCGTGGTAAAGCTTACAAATAACTGCCATAAAGTACCTTGTACCCAGCTTATGAGTTGACAGGAGTGTTCTTTTTTTAATATAAAAAAATAAGATTGACAGAAATTAAACACAATCACAAAGCTTTGCCAAGGTTAAACAAAGAACAATAAATTTTTCCAGTACACAGAGCGATACTGGTCTTCAAAACAAAAGTGGCATACAATCTTTTAAATGTCATAAACCCATAACACAGAATACGCATTAAACATAATCATTTTGTGGTCCAGTTCATTTGGAGATTTGTTTGCATTGTTCTCTGTTAATTCTTTTTTACCATTACCCTCATTGTAATGTTACGTTTTTGTGTTGGAATGCTCCCTTTTCATTGGCCCAAAAGATATTGTTCCCTAGTTTGGTTTTATTTATTTGAAAATATTTTTCTTCTCCGTTTTGAATTTGGTCACTGCAAAGGTATGCAGCTATTCAGCAATTATTGCCTTTGGCTTAAATATTCACTAGAATCTAATACATTGCAGAGCCTAATTATTTTTGCTATAAACTAAAGTTCAAAGTTGGTCTTTCCCCATCTTTAGATCCTTTTACCACAACTGTCAAATAAGAGGATATTTGGCCTCACCTGATAAAGCACAAAACAGAGAACATAAGTTGACTTTGCAGTTTATCTTTGGTAATCACAGAACAAGAAGTATCTGACATTAACAAAAAAAAATTAAAGGAAATACCTAAAAAGCTCGATAACTACAAAAATAAAACCATAACATCCTCAATAAATACAAACTATAAAAGTGGTTGGTTGCAGTCTTAACTAGGATGATTTCTGTGAAAGACATATACATTATTTTCTTTTTAAACACCGAACTCAGGAGAATGCTCCACCAGCTCAGCATTTCTTGCATTACAATTTCTATGATGTGTTTATACTGGCTTGCGTAAGAACACTAGATAAAAACATAACCTGCAGCACAGTATTTGTACAGGAACAATTACTCTTAACACTTTTGTGTTACTGGATTTAGCTAATATTATCCCCTCAGTGTAACAAGCCTGTTCTCTATGTGCAGATTTATCTCCAGAGCAGTGGGTTTCATCGAAGCTGCAAGGAAATGCTGAACGACTATGATGTGATGATCAGAGGTGAGTCCTTTTGCTCTCCTTTGCCAGCACGAATAAAAGCTCATTACTACTCCATAGCTTCACCATTTCAGAGTCTGTCATTTAACAGTACAGTCAGGCAGTTTGAATACAAGGGATTAATGAACATAAAACTTCCATCTACAGCATCATATTGGATATCTGTATTCTTAAAATGAATACTTTTTTCTTAGAAAATTTCATGTGCAAGTTAACCTATTGAAAAATTAGACATAATAGTGATCAACAATGTTATTGGCTAGAGCTGGATTCAGAAATATAAAATTTACCTACCATTCGGCATGCTACATGTACTAATTTGTTTAAAAAAGGGTATTTTAAAAAAGTTCAGTGAATTGTCTGCAGCTGTCTTACACTGCTATGAAGAGCAAATCTGTTTTTTTTTCTTAAATGTTCCCTGCATGATTTCTCTGTCATTCATTCCCATCCAACACAAAACTTCATCGGTGTTGCTAGAACCTTCATTATGAGTAGTGCATTGCTGCTGGACTTCACAATTTTGGGAGTGGGCTACATTTTGCCAAAAAGCGATAGTGAACGGGTCATTGTGACTGAGAAACACATGGTGTGGCATGAGGTTGTCTTTTGAAGCACATGGAATAAATGACAGAAAAATACTACTTGGTATTTAAACATTCTGCTTCATGTACAAAACAAAAAATACTTACACAAACATTCATCATCAAGTGCTGACCAACTGCTGCCTCTATGAGGCCAGAGTCCTTAAGTTTAGGAGTTTGGTCAGAGTTTTTTTTTAAAAAGTGTAGTTGTTTAAAAGAGAAGCATATAGCAACAAAAAGAAAAAAAGAATTATAGCTTCCCCTCTCAAAGAACCTACCCTATAACCTTAATGGAAGCAAAACAATGTGGATCAAAGGCAGTGATCATTAACTTAATCCACACTCAGCACTGTGCAAATCACATGTCCATCAGAATCTCTTTAGTTTCTGGGCAGGTCAACCTGCAGTGTGAAGTCCATGCTTAGTTAATGTGGCCTTATTATTTCTGTTAGCAGGATTGCAGTCTGTTGCCTGCAGCAGTGTGTGTGCAGCATCAACTGTCCAGTAACACAGCACTGACCATGTCGAGTGGAAAGGTCTCGAGTACCAAACAAGTCCATCCAATGCATGTTGAGTAAAAATTCCTTTTTTTTTTCCCAAACAAAAAAGTAGAAATAAATCAAAAATACTCCCAAATGGGATATTGTTTTGTATTTAATGGCACTAAAAGTCAATCCAAACATTTTATAGCTGTCAACAATGGACTGAAAATCCAGCTTCTTTCTCTGGAAACATTTCACAGATGATTTGCATTAGTTCTACCGATCTTCATTCTCAGGACAACATGGGAACACAGGCCTATTGCATGTCATCGTTCCCAGGGTCATCGTCATAATCTCTGTCATGGTCAAAATCTGGACTGTGGTTGGCTGTGGTCACAAGAGACAAAGGACCTTCGTGATCTTCTGGATCCAGTGGTTCCTCTTTAACATTGATGTGATGCCTACAGAAAAAAAAAGAGAGACGTTTATTTTTGTGCGTATTGCGAAAAGGAGATCAGTGGTTTGCGCAATACCCGACACTAATTCTGTGTACCGGCAATCACAAATTATTTCTAGTGGAGTACTTAAAATACACAATTAACTGTTGTCATTAAAGAGACAAGTACAGACAAATCTACTCTCTCCTGTTAATTGGAGATTTTATTTTCTCATAATAGCAGATCGGGTATTTCCTTAAAATTGACAAATGGGAAAAAATTAACAGCGTGAAAAAAAAAGGGAAATAGACTACACTGCGCAAGCAAGGCGGTTTGTCAGGCACCTTGTGGTAGCAGATCATTGCTCGCTGTGTGTTCTGCTTTAGTCTAGTTAACATGCAGAACCTGTGAGCCCAGTCTCCAGAGGACGACCCCAAGCGAGGTTCTATCATTAATCAACTTCAAGCAAACACAGCGACGAGACACCATGATACATGTTTTAAACTCCAAATTAATGCATATTTTTACAAAGTGTCAATACGGGAAGAAAAGCCCTGCCAGGAAACACAAGCAGCGCGGAAAAAGGCCTGCTCAACACAACATTGTGATAAGAAACCAAAGCCCTTACGAGAATAATAACACTGTCAGCTGTAAACAAGGCAAAACATGAACCCCAGCCCACAGCCTGGGCAAAAGGATGCACTAAAGAGATGAGATCTGCCAAATTTCTCATTATGGAAACAACACATGGATAACCCAGTGGGGAATGTGGGTTGACTGTAGGTGAAAGAAAACACAGTTTATAACAGTTGGGGGAAAAAAAGCCTTTTGAAAATTAAAAACGACAAACATACTGCTTTCACAGCCTGAGCCTGGTTGAGGAGGCTAAGCTTTACAAAAAAAAACCAGAAGTTTATGTAAATAAAAGGAAACTTTTTGATCATTAGTTTTTAAACACAATATAATATAAATATTCTTTCTTTTACAGATACCAGGCACGTCTGAGCCAATGCAGTTTGCTGTGATACCACAACACCAACAAAACAAGACGGGACTTATATTGGTTTTAGATCATCAAAGTAATTCCACAAGCATCATTGCCTCAGGTCTGAATCTTTTGCTGGAGGGCAGACATAAAATTGTTATTATCATGCTATTGAACTGCATGCTGGTCTTAAAATTCATTCTGTTTGTAATTAGCTGAGGACACCTGATCAGTAACGAACTGTCGAGGGAAATACTATGGTGTCTTTCTAACCAATCACAACACAAAATGTCTTTAATTAGATGTTGCTATACTACATCCACATTGGCATGAAAGATGGTTGCCCCCCCCCCAGCATGTCTTGAAGAAGAGACAGTATTGCTGAAGGGGTTACCCGTAAACAGTTGCTTTCAGAAGATATTTCCCTTTTTTACATTTCAGTAATTCCTTTGTTTCCCCCTTCTCTGGGAAAAAAAGGGGGTTTAATAAACCCGAAAGTTGTTTGAAGGCATTGTGCTTCAGTGGTGCACGCAGTGTGAAGTAGCTTGCTTTGTGGCTACCTTCAGAGTGTATCAGGATGAAAGTACGATGTCCCCTAGTTGTAATTATGCAACTGCAAAAATACTGTTTCTATGGAAAACAATGCTGTCTCTCAAAGGCTGTACTGAGTAACACCAGTGAATGATTTTTTTTAGAAAGACAAATCGAAATATTTCTATATTTATATAAAAACATTTGAAAGCCCCAACAAATATAAAAAAGAGCGACTACCAGCATAACAGCACACAGTTCAGATCTTTTAGCATACTAGGAAAGTTTAATTTCTGAGTGATGGAAAAGTCAAGAAACTGACCACCCATCTCAATTGTGTATAGTTCACACCCATTTGTCTCTTCGTAACAGGTCACCTTCATTCAAATTATCATCTGCACTGTCCAAGGTCTATAGTAAGCTGACAATACAGACAGGCCAAATTCCAGTTTTTGTGGATGACCTATCATACTGCCACAATCTCACCCTTGTTTAGGCTTTGCACTACACTTAAAAAGTATTGTCAAGTATTTGTGAACAAATTATTGCTGTAATCACAAGTTTGAAAAGCACGTCCAATAACCTGATGATTGACAAAGCATTGTTTCCCACGTTTGAGTCGGCTGTAGAGACCTACTCTCTGTGTCAAACTTTGTCAATCATCCCATGAACAGAGAGAACGCCTGTGGGCCAGCACTCCCATCCTGTCTTTCCTTTTCCTGTTCTAAAGCACTGCCCTAAGCAAAATTCACAATTACTGGGGATGGCAAAATCTTCAAGAAACAGAGGAGCTCATTATTCTGCCTTTTGCTTTAATGCTCATTAATTTCCCTTTCTGATAATGTATCAGGTGATCTATAAATCTTGCAGCGTTTCACATCAGCAGACAGTAACATCTGGAAATGATGCTGTCTATGGCATATTATTTTAAGCTCCCACCAACTTTGCAGACACTCCTTTACAACAAGTGTATTGGGAACTGTGGTTTTCAGATCTAACCACAGCTTTGCTACATGGGAAAACATTGGAATGGAAAATTAAGAAGCCGTTAAATATTTTTTTTACAAGACAATATACTGTACATTTCTATTATTAAACATATTGAGAAGTGCTACAATGCATGCAGCACACAGCTTCCAATAATATATCCTATCACTGCAGTTTTGGTATTCATATCACTTCAATTAAGCAGATATTTTCTGTTTAGAACTTGTGTGTTTGTACTGTAAAACAAATACTTTTTACTGTAAAATATTTTTTTCTTCTGAGCTGCTTGACTTGGTAAGCAGCCAGAAGGTGGAGTTTCCTTTTGAGATGAGAACGTTAGTGTTCTGAGGAAAAAAACTCTGCTTTCCATTTTGGAACCAGCATTTTCTCAATCTTTTTCACATAACTTGCTGTGTGGGATCTTCATTTTAAATAAAGGGAACTGGTTATGACAATGCTTTGTGTTGTTGTGTACAGGACTTTTCTGTATAATGCCTAGTAATCTTAACATTTATATGCATGCATTTTGGAGAAAATAGGTCCATTTTCAGCAAACAGCAGAGAGCTGTAAAACATGTACATAAAACGTACTGGTTTAAATGTGGATCCTATCAACAAATGCATAAACTGTGTGATTTATGTGGTAAATAGTATTGTTCGGTACTCACATAGCTTGCAAAGGAGAGCGTCCCGGGCTGCTGTCACTGCCATTGCTGTTTGCATGCTCCATTGCACCATTTACCTCCTCTCGTATAACATTAGCAAGGGAGTTTAGAGTGGGACTTCCAATGGAAGCAGTAGTGTATAGAGGTATGTTATTTTCTGCCATTGAAGCCTAAAAACATCCAGAAAAAGCTGTGAGAAAACATCCAGCCATTACATGTCCAAAAAATGAAATGTGTTGAACTTATACTAGGTTAGGGAGAAGGTTCTTCAGTATTAACTCAAAAGGCAGACAAATAAATAAAGCATATTATAAAAAGACAAGGGGTCAAATGGCTTTACAAACTAAAAATTACATTTAATTTAGTATGAAAACACAACCAGAAAAAGCAAGTGTCGGGCACTTGTTTATTTTTGTTTTAATGTAGCACAACAATGGGTTTGAAGTTTAAAAAAACATTTAACCAGACAAAACAGTGTTTAAGCTTGCTCTCAAAAGCCCCAAGAGACAGTAAGCTAACAGTGAACAATATTTAGCTAGTATATTTCTGCAGAATGTATTTCAGTGAACAGTTTTTAGCAAGTGTCTTTCAGCTGAGTGTATTTCACAAAAATAAAGTTCAGCTTTGCATTCGCTGTCATAAATAAATTGCCTTTTTAAACATTTTACAGATTTCATACACATGTACAAGGTGCATTTGTTACAGCCTGTTCAGCTTTAATTGTTCAGTAAACTGGTGGTGAGTCTCAATATGGGTAATCTAAGTACATATATAAGCTTTTTAGAAATCCATCATAAGCTTCATGGTAAGACACGGCTCTTTGTCCTGAAGGAGCCATATTCATGTAATGGTAACATTATGAGTAATGGTGACATTTTGTTTCACATCCAATTCATTTATATTTTTTATTGTCATTTAGACAATGTGGCAATTCTTTTAGTACAAGATTGTATTCTTACCTGAAAAGCAGCAGTGAGAGATGTTCCATAGCTGAGACTGGTCTGTAGATTTTTCACAAGAGCTGGGCTACTGCAGGGGAGGCAAAGCAATTGTTTCTTAAATACATCAGCAATTATCAATTATATGAAGCACTTCTATTATAAAATTCAGTTCAGTGTAGGTACTATAATGTAATACAAAAATATTGTAAACAGTTTAATTAATATTATGAGGTCTACAGATGTCAATGTGTTGCTATACCCAAAGCTAGTTATTTGGCTTTTATAAAAGCTTGAATCATTACCAAATGCTAAAACCAAGTTGCAAGGTTTTAAAAGTAACTAGCCATATAATGTATTTCTCATCCCATAATAGTCTTTTAATTTGATGGTATCCAATAAAACACTCCAGTAAAATCAATATGTAGTAATGTAATTACATACTGCCTGTTTTGATGTTCATGTGCACACTGGACAAGTATTTTATGCTTGAAAACATTACTAGAATACACATTTGATTCGAGAAATACCTAAACAGGAAGGAACAACAATGACTGAAGAATCCTCAACAATCTTTCAGCAAGGAACTTCAGAGAACAGGCCATTGAAATGCAAAATGAAGACATGAAGGCAGAGCATGCATAAAACGGAATAAAACTGCGTTGGTTTAATGAACAAGGCAAAGCCAAGCGAAAGTGCTTACTGTACAAACAGCTCATCAAAGTTTTCATCAGCGCAGTATTTCCGAGGACGGCCTCGCTGAATGTGGCGGCCACGTTTAAACTCTTCATCATCAACAGTCCAAAAGGACCCAAATTCATCCTCTACTCTGATAAAGCACTTATGCAGCGAAAGGTTGGTGCGAACAGCACCCTGGGACAAACGCAGCAGCCACAACAATGTAGTAATAACACAACAAACATGGACAAAGGGAGCAAGGGACAAACACCAAAACACAGGGAAGGTGAGGTGAAAGAGGAAAAAATAAAAATGCAAATAAGCATAAGCAAATGAGGGTTAATACGCACCATCTGGAAAGCTAAAAGCATGTGATGCAGCACACACCAAAGCAAGCAGGGACAAGGGTACTTCAGGCATCATGGCATACAAACAATGAGATGGAATGCTTTTCCCAAAATTGAAAACCATGAAGCATTAAACCATTTTGATTTGCCACCTGCAGGTGCCAGAAAGCCTCCCATTGACAGCCAAGCTTAGGCTAAAGAGTTCAAAGATGGTGGACGTACCCACTTATCTTTTGTGGCCTTCGCTTTTGGAACTCTAGCTCGTCCACTGTCCACACTGCCCCTTTAACGTTTTCTACTCGCACAAAACACTTGTGCAGACTAAGATTATGCCGGACTGCATTCTGCAGCGGGTGTAAGAAAAGAGAAGATTTCTATGAGAACACTGACAAATATCCAACAGGATCAGATCAAGAACTCGGGGGTGGGGGTAGAAGAAAGGGAAAAATTAAAACATGAAAATCAGATTTTATCAACACCTAATCACATAATAACCAACATAAGGCTCTGTAACCTAAGGTTTGACACCCTAATTAATTATCCGTGGGAGACCGATATACAGTATTAGTGATCAATGTTTGGCTGCGGTTTTACTGGTGTTCACAGTAATGGAACATTTTATTTAAAAACCAAAAACAGAAACAAGCAAAGATGGTCATATCATAGAAGTGTGTGATTAATATGGTGTATTTTCCAAAATGTTCAGAATAATTTCAAAGATATAAAGAACTACCTTGTGTCCATTAGACTGCATTCCAGCTTGAACAAAGCTTTGAATAAAATAAACAGACATTGCATTTGGCTTGTCTGAACCAGTTAGAATTTTACTCAACACCGAACAATAGGGGGGGAAAAGTCAAGCTATTATAGTTAGCACGTAGATTTGGTTTTCATCGTGCCATTTGTATGCAGGCGGCTATCCGTAAATAAACTGAACACACATTCATACATTACATTAAAACTGTGTGTTTTCGCAGTGCTTTGTGCTGCCATGCTGGACTGAGTCACAGTGGGGAAGTTGCATGTTTATGACTAAAATGTGCCCCTATGGATGGGCTGTCAGCGGTTGGTGGAGTATTTTGTTAAAGAGCAGAATGAATCTACTGAGCTGATAGTTGTCAGAGTCACAGCTGTAGCTCAACAAAGGAGTGTAGAAGGTAACGTTTTAACAATATAAAGGTAGGTTTCTCTGCCTTGCATTTAAAAAAAACACTATTTTTCATACTGTCCACAAAGGGGAATGCACAGGGTTAAATGAAGGTTTTGTGGTGTTTTGTCTTTTTTCTCTCCTTGGCATCATCTTTGCTTGTTTGAAATGTTGGCAAGTTCCTCTGGACATTTAACAAAGGTTTTACCTTTTCTTAAGAACTAACATAGTGGATCATTGTTTCAAGAATACTTTAGAATGGTGCTCATTTATGCCACATAAAATCAATTTATTGCTTTGATAGTTCTTCATGAACATGTAATAGAATTTCATTCAAATTATATCATAATAGTGGAAATGTTAGGAAAGCATTGATATAAAGGATTTATTGTTACAGGAGGATAAATAACTCCTTTATCTGTATAAAACCCCAAGTTCAAATTTAACACTGTACAAATCAAGTGACACAAGTGAACAAGAAATTATTAAGGTTAGATTTAAGCACAGACCTGAAAAAACTAGTTTCATTTTGATTTATGTATGTTAACTATAAAGTTAAAATATCTCATTTATTTTTTCTTTTAACATTTTTCTCTATTATAGTAGAATTTAAGTTACCTTCCATGTTGCTGCATTGCGCCTGAAATATGCAAACATTCTTGTGAACCAGTTGTAGATTTCGTTTAGTGTTAACTGCTTTTCAGGAGATTCCAGAATTGCCTTGAAAAAATATTTGGTGGCAAAAATGAAAATAAATCTTAAGTACAGTGGAAAACAACATGCCAATATTGTTAATGACAAATTGATGAATTACCAGTCCATGCTACATTAAGAATACAACTAAAAATAGCCATGTTTTGCTTGCTTACCAAAAGCTTTAATTTCTTAGTTATAATAAGCAGATTTAAACACATCTTACATTTTTTTCTGCTTAATGAAGAAAACCTAAAACATTTCACAACCAGATTAAAGCATAGTAATTATTTAGAGCTAAGATTAATTCAAGAGATCAGAGATTACTGCAGCTTGTGATAATTGACTTGCCATCTTTAAACAGGTTCGTTTCCACTGTTGTGTGAAATGAATTTCATAATAATCACATTCTATTGTAATGCTTAATCAAAAGCAATTGTTATATATTGCAATTTTGAAGTCCAGATTACATTCCTTTGCTCATTTTGAGATGGAAGGGACTTCTTTACTGCTGTTTGTCAAAATTGTATTTGAAAGAATTCACTATGAAAGAAAATATGAAAATAAGCAATTTCTGTCTGATGTGAAAATGTATCTACCGCTAAAACTACTCAGCATCTTGAGGCTAATGCGAATAATAATCTCTTTATGACATAGATTAAAAACCCTTACATCACTCTGGCCTACATTAACAAAGTATGAATAAAATAAAGGCTTTCTTACCTGCCTTATTAAGGAAGCATATGTAAAGGGAGGTCTTACTTCAGCATTCATGTAAAATTCTTTGTTCTGGACAATATCTGTTAAGAGTTGTCAGACATACAATTTTAAGCCAGTAAAACATTGTATTTATGTAAGCAATTTTGTTTTTTACTGTATCTGATTTTTTTAATACAGAGAGAAGAGTATAGAAAAAACAGCACTAGAGGATGTTAAAAGGACAAATGTAAAATAAGTAGTTAGCATAACCAATATTTCATGTAATAATAAAATAATAATATTTCAGGTGGCACAAATGTGTTGTTTAGATCTACATTCTAAATTTAGGCATGCAACCTTTTTGGCTTACCTGGGGAAATGGGCATGTTGTATTTTTCTGAATACCGCCTTCGAATTGGTCCCACACTATGCAAGTTGTTCTGGGTGATAACAGAGGGTCCTTGGCTGATGGGTGTTAGGGGGGCAGTGGGGGTGGTGGGAGTCTGAGGCAGGCTCTGTGGAGACGTTTCAGAAGCCGTCTTGGAGAGTGTAACGTTGGACACCAGATTCAACTAGAAACAACAATCAGTTTATTTGCAAACATGGGACATGCTTTATTCAGGAATTCAACTTTACTGGCAATAAGCTATATTTTCTGTGGCTTCTTTTTTTTTAAAAAAAAAAACAATATTGTCTGGCAAAATGAACTCTTGTGTCACGTTTCAGATCATACAAAGATCTGGAATTACTTTCTTTTTCTTTCACCACACAGCAATATTTTAGTCCAGATGGACACAAACTTTCTTTCCAAGATCCTCTGTGTTTGCGTACAACAGAGATTGAAAAAAGAGAGGAGCACAGAAAAGCGAAGCTTTAACAGGCTTGACAAATGACAGTGTGATTCACACCTACCGCTGGGCTGCCACTAATAAGCTACAGAGGAAGCAGCCGATCTCAGCTAATTACAAGATGAAATTGTATTGTAAGGACTCTAATTAGGGGATGCTTATAGAGGTGATCTAATGATTAAATGCTGTATCTGACTGACCCCATCATCGGTCTACAGAGGTGCAAGATATTTCTGAAATATTTTTCTGTAAAGAGGAATTTTTTGAAAGAGTAGAGGCAGAATATTAGCAATAATGGTTACAAGGTAAACTAATTAAACAAAGCGTTCCAAAGGTATACAGTGGCTATAAGCATCTGTGGTCGTTCAAAACAAAGTGCCAAATCTCAACAGAGAAGCTGCACTCAAGTGGAAAATTTTAGCCTGACCTCTGCTCCATCTATTAATTTGCAGGAAAACTAATGACACATATACATATTCCCACAAAATTGTTCTAATTGCTAATTTGCCGAAGGAGCACCAAATTAAACATGACTTCGGTCAGTGCAGAAAGAGAGAGCAAAATACAGGGAATGCAGGCAGAAGGCGTTTCATTTCTGACAATCATTTGTGGATTGAGCTAACAAATTAATGAAATGTCAACGCTGTCAATTGCTTTGGAGGTATCAGATGTCTAATTTTTTTGATAATGGCAGCTGTTAAGGCTGCAAACATCCCCTCTTCTCTGACACTAGAAGCAGAGGTACACAGGTGAAAGAGAGACGATTGTGTTTAACACCTCACCCTTACCTAGTATAGCATCCATGGCCACCCAATTACCAAAATCTTATTAAAAGTCATTACAGGAATGATGTTCACTTGATAGACAAGTGTGATAAAACAGGTCCCCACAGGCAAAACATACATTCACATTCAAACACCTTCCTTCCATAGATAGCTGGCATTTTCATTTTAAATTATTCTTTCTATAATGTTCATTTTAAAATGCGATGATTTTTAACCACACGTGAGTTTTAATAACTGAATTGTAACATGTACATAAGCTAACAGGTAACAAATGTAGTATAGTACTAGTCAACAATTTTGGAATCTGTATTGTAATTATGACATTATGAATATTAAAATATAGATAAGTTTAAAATAAATTTAAAAACTAATTTCTAAAAGAAAACTGCTGTGAAAGAACTTGTCATAGTGTCATAACCTTCACAGAAATAAAGTCAACTATTACCTTTTTCTTTTCCTGTGGACTGACTTATCATGTGTCACATTTCAAATACATTCTCACGATGTAAACAAAGAATCTTAAACAATGGCACATGCAGTATTTCAGTAATAAGCAGCTCATTTTTTTCTGTCACGCTTTGGGTTGACTCCAAGCAATGACAGAAAGAGAGTTCAGACAGAAATTAATTAAATGGTAATTGGTGAGCTAATTATACTGGCCTTGACTCTCCGAGCTGCCTAAGAAAAATAAACAAAACCCCCTTCTTAATTATGTATACCAAAAGGTCACAATACTGACAGGAATGTTTAGCAACAAAGCTCAGAATATTTTTTTAAACTATGCTTAAATACATTTCATAACCAGAATAAGCCACTTACTACAGTAATGATTATAGATATGTCCTGTATATATCTTTGCTTTTTTCAATTTGTGAGGCTCCTCTTCTCTTTTGAATGTCATAAAACAGCTCTTAATGAGAGACTAATCAGCCCTTTTGCAAATTCAGTTTTAATGACTATAATTTTGATGTATTTTTCGATGATGAATGGTTATTTTGAAGTAGAAGCTAATGAAATACAGTACACAATAACAAAGGTGCAGTATACCATGTCAATTATAGGCTTATATTGATGGGTATATGTGTTTTTAGCCTTGTTTAAAAGTAAAATTTAATAGATAAATAGAAAAACATACAAATTAGTTTATTCATTTTCTGGAGCTCAGTGTTATAAACACTTAAGACCCTTTTTCATGGGTTCATATAAATATTGTATGTCTTTTTTTGCAAGATATAAAGCTTTTACATCTTTTTTCGTAGCATTAATGTTTTGGCCAAAGCAGGCAAACCACAGACATAATAAAGATTTCACCTGAAATCACACATACGGACACTAACAATAAGGCTTTTGGCATTTGTGAACATTCCAGAATAAGAGACCATGATGGATGCAGCCTGTGAGGTTCTGTTACATAAAACAGACGGAAGGATTGAAAAAGCTTCCTTTCATTCTTCCTGGGCTCTTCATGGTCTTCACACCAGAATAGCAGTGAAGAATTAGTGGCATCTCAATCTGTTAGCTTGACTGGCCATCTGACGCACAATGTTCCTCAGCTCTGGGCCTCCTCATATCAACAATCTCTAAGGAGAAGCACGGGGAGCCTGGGAAATCTCCCTCCCTGTTAATAATACTTTTGTTGTTGTTCTGTATTAAAATGTATGCATACACCGCATGGATTTTTAGAAATGTTTTATCCAGCAATGTATTGGCAGATTTGATTTACCTGTATCCGCAAAAAGAGCTGCATTAGGTACATGTGCTCTATAGGTGCTGGCCATTTAGCTATGGAACCTTATGCTTCACTCTCAAAGTAGAAATCCAGTTAAACAAAAAGGACCCGTCTCTGTTACCCAGTCCCACAGGGATTTATATCATTAACTCCATGCTTAAAAACAGGAGGGCTGAACGAAACTGTGGGCTGAGGATCTGGATTAATATAATTCAGAAAGCGGTGTCTTTAAAGTCCATCAATGAAAACCCAGATGACAAAGGATGCCTGTGTTCAGACTGAAGCAGCTGTAAGCATTAACCAAACATTTTAACATGCTGGTTTATTTATTTAAAAGAAAACTGTCACTAAAAGCAATTCTTTACCACACATTTTGACAGAACCATTAAAAACCAGCCATACAGTGAATAGGTAAAGAACTCAAATTGCTGTCTGCCAGCTACCCCACTTTTCATACACAAATGCAGATCTTTTTTTCAAAGGGCCATACATCAGGCCATTTACATAAGATAATCCAAACAATCAGTGTATTTGACAATGGGAAACCTCAAACAGGCTGCCTATTGTCATTTTACATCCCTCAACTCTTTATGTTGACTTGTAGCAGTGGTCTTGCTGTCAATAGTTTAACTTGGGCTCTAAATAAATGATTATAGTTGTACTGTGTGGCAGTGTTAGATTTCCTAATAAAAGGAAAGCTGTCTGTGTATAAATGCAGCAGCCTTTTATGCATCTGCCAAAATACTCCAGGATATTTGTAAGGTAAAGTGGGATTTAATGTGTACAGTCTATTGAGGCTGCCAGGTCAAGAACAAACTTGATAGACCTGTTTTAAATTGTAACATATTAAATTATAACATGTGATACATTGAAATGATTTTCATTTTTTAATTAAAACTTCAAGGTTGCTGAAGAATTAAGAGAATGTCAAAAGACTACAGTCATGACTAATACAAAGACAAACCTGCTTCCCCATTAGCTGTGTGGGTGATAATACTATAGAGTTAGCTACATCCAGACTAAAGGCTGTTTCCTTTTAAATTATTTGTGCTATCATTTATTGATTACCTGAGACACACAAGGTGTATACTTTTATATGTACTTTTGTATAAAGGATTATCCTTTATACTTTATACAAAAGTATAAAGGATTGAATATTTCTCCATTAATTTTCAGAAAGCGAAGGGTCACTAAAACCTGGAGCCTATCTTCGAGACAGTGAGCACAATGCAGGAGTACACTATGGACGGGGCACCAATCCATGCATATACACAGACGGACATGTGCTCACAGGCAATTTTGAGAACAGTTAACCAAGCTAGCATGTCTTTGGAAAGTGGGTGGGAACTAGATCGCTCAGAGTTAACCCAATCAGACAAGATGAGACCACACAAACACAGACGTCACTGCAGTCCATCGTTGAACACAGAACCGAAAAGCTAGCCTGTGAATGGAAACTGCTATCCTACCACTCAAGCCTGAGGATTGACTAAATTCAAAATACCTTCATTTCATACTGACAGGTGGATCTGTATATTTTAATATGGCCTTTTTGTGTATTTTTAAACAATGCATTCTAAAACATTTTTTCCATGCAGATAGTGTAGTTTCGTTAGGCTGTGTAAACCTCTATTTTTTCATTAAATAGCATTAGGATATATTGACTAAATTTGCAAGGAACAACAACAGATTCAGTCATGCTCAATTAATTCGCATATATTGATGCTGAGCAGCAAACACTTCTGGCTCTGTACCTTTGAGAACCAAATGAAATATTTGGATTTCAAGATGCAAGATACTGATTCTGTTGTAAATCAATCTGTTGATTTTAGAAAGCATGTACTCTTGAGTATATTGCAAAAACAAATTTGGGGTCCTTCAATAGGTGCAGAGTCAACAGGCAAGGTCACTGAACACTATTTCAAGGCTTTGGTAATGGAGATAAATAGTCCTTTTTAGAGAAAAAATCTAACTGGTGTAAGATGCGGTAATTACTATCCAGAAATGATATAAGACAAAATCAGAGGAGGGGATAGGCCTGTAAAAATATTGTGAGATGCTTGAAATCTGCATGTTCTTGGAAACATCTTC